AATTTCTGTGTATGTTTTATTCAATTGTGCTAAAGTGGCTGTATCAGCTTAATAGATGTCCCTCCCCCCTGATAGTCAGTAAATAGTCGTAAAAGACACGTAAAATGAAGCCTATTCAGGCAAGAAATCTCACAATTTGATAATTGTTGAAAGAAGTAAAAAATATACTTTTATGTATAGTATTAAAAAAAACTTTAGTTTCTATCCATTTTTATTTGATAAGTACGGGACAAGTTATATTTTCAAAATTAAGTACATAATAACGAAATAAAAAATTTGGTTGTCAATACTTTTTACAGTAAGGTCAGTAATTCTCTTTAAGTCGAGTGTTCTCTTCACATTCAACTGTGATTGATCAATTCTTACTGCTTACGATACCGGCATACGATATTATAAAATTCTTACGGTTTACGACTTATAATCGAAATATAACGTATTGTAAAACGAGCTTAGTACGATAAGCAAGGTTCCAATTCCTACTGCGATATGGTGTCACCACCATCAACGCGGAGTTTTTGACTGGGCAGTCAGAAGCCTTAAAAATAGAATTTTAATATAATTGAAAAGAGATAAAAAGTATATTTTTTTCTTTATGTTTCTGTTCTCTTTCTGCAAGTAATTCTAAAGTGAATACAAAAGATTAAACAAGAATTGAAATATGCATCTCTCAATATCTTCGAAAAATATTGCCAAAGTTATTTAAAAAAAATATTTTAAATAAAAAGTACGCGAACCAAATTCCAATTTTGCATTTTCTAGGTGATTAAGTAAACTAAAATAAATTACAAATTCGAATTTCAAGAATTAGGTAGAAGATCTTGAAAAGAAAGGTGTAAGAACTAAAACGAAAAAAGAAGAATGCGAAATCAAAATTGGATTTATGTATACTTCAATTCTTTTAATGGAATATAATCGTACCTTAACCAAAAATTGCTTGTGCTCAACTTTTAAAGGAAGAGCGAATCCATTAATAATGCTACCCAGAATTTCCAGAAGCTCACCGACCCCGTTGAAATGTTCCGTTTCATACACAAACCTGAAATAAAGTGTGGATATTATATATAAATATCAAGATAAAAATATAAAGTAAATCGACATTATTGATAAATTATTTGTCAAAATATTACATAAAATTAAATTTCCAGTAGAATTTTATTCAAAATAGTATTTGTACATTGAAATAGATACCTTAAAAAAATGTTATTGATTTGTTTGCGTATAAAGGCTCTAAGTCCCAGGAACTTGCCATAAATACGATGCAAAACTGTTTTCAGGAAATCTCTTTCCCTAGGGTCTTCCGAGTCAAATAAGTCCAATAACTATAACAGATAATTATAATGAGTTACGTATTCATTAATTTAATTACATTAAAAAGTGTGGTATATTAGAGAGAGATATTGAAAAGTAAGAATGTAATACTCTACCTGTAACACGAATTTTTGGTCAATAACTTTTTTGCCAATAGCAGGCTGGAAATCTGAAGACTCGAGAAAACGGAGGAAGACTTCGTAGACCAACTGAAGATGAGGCCAACTCGCCTCCAGGGTTGGATCATCTTCTTCTGGATCAAAATCTGGATTTTCGCTAGGTGGCAATGTACGGAATAGATTTGCAGAAACCTTTAACAAATACGAAGGATCTTTAAACATTTTCAAGCAATATTAGCATTAAATAGCGTTAACAAATTTTATTTATTACATTCATTATATTACATGGAAAAAATAATGTATTAACAGTATTAGCTAACAGCAAGTTTAATTAAAAGTAAAATTGTTATTAATTTTTAATAACAATATTAATGAAACAAATATTTTATTAAAATAAAAGCATGATGTATTTGTTTCATCAATATTATTATGGAAGACTATTTTTAATTAGACTACTATTAATTATGCTGTTAATACATTATTTTTTCCTGTGTAGATATATTTAATATACTAAATACTTAAATATATTAAATTTAATATAAATACTTTTGAATTTTATTTATTGCATTTATAGATACATTAGATATACAAATAAAAATCAGAATAAACTATTAAATTAAGTCAGATTGTTTCTAATTGATTTTTCTACAGAAATAGTAATTAATTATCTTAACAGAATAATTTGTAGCCTATGGGATAACATTCGAAGAAAAGAACATACTGATCAAACAAAGACTGATATACATAAAAAATCAGAAGCTATTGAACAAAAATAAATAAGACAGAATTCTTAACTATAGTTTGATAATTTTCTTACATCTTGTTGCGATTCTTTCGTTAATTACATACCATCTTAATGGTTTCCGGGTAAATGGGCTCAGTAAGAACACCTCGCCCTGCTGTGATATATTCCACCAATTCATTGAGCGTACTCCGTTTAATTTCTTTGCCTTTGAGATCAGCCATTGGGTCCATGAAGTCGAACGCCACACAACATTGGCGTAGCTTTTTGATAAATAATTCCTCCTGCTCTGCGGCGTTAACATCTGTAACAAACAAGTAATATAATATAATTTTCGATTTCTACACGTTTCAAACATGAAATCCCATCTGCGACAATCCCTAAGTGTATTATAAAGAGAACCTCGGGAGGAGTTCTGGAATCGGCATATCCTTAATTATTCGGGTGTTTCGTTATAAATAATTCATTCATTATATATGCAAAACAGAATCGAAGAGCAAAGTGCTTGGCTACTATTTTTAACTCTCCGCTGCATGAACAAGAGTCCAATAAAATGTATCATTTCGTTTGGTTCTAAATGTGTAAGCAAACAATTTAATTGAGCCGATAAAAACCAGAATCGTACAAGTCACACGAGTCACGAGAGACCAGGATGATCGAATGTTGAAATCATTGTACAAACGGATTATGCAGCATGCATCTTTTAACTATAAAACTTTTTCGACAAATTTGAGGTCTCTTCGATTTAGCTTTGATATTTGCTTGAAATTAAATGAATTGTTGTTCGTTAACATCATCGAAATCTGTCCTATGGAAAAAAATCTTGTGACCTTGATAGACAAGATATTTTTGTATCTGCCAAATTTTCACCGATAAGAAATGGATTGGTGAAAGACAAATAGTCAAAAAATTTAATATTATCTTAAAGATGACCGGCCAAATTTTGATGAACTTAACGGTGATTAATCTATCAAATGTTGCTTGTAATATTTTGTAAACATTTTATTAAAATTATTAATTTTTTAAGAAAATTTTTTGTTATAAAAAGAAGATTCAATTTTGGGGACAACAAATTGTATAATTAAAAATATTAATATAAGTGCTATTGCCGGATAAATGAATCGCCGATTAAGTTAATTGAAGTTTAATCAAAATCGACCTCAAATACTATTTTTAAACTAATTTTTTTCTATATAAAACATTACTTGCAATTATATATTGATTATCGAAACACGCACTCAGTGATACTCATACACTACTGTTTATAAGTTCCCAACCACTCTTAAAAGTAAAATTAAACACATTCTTGCGTAATTTTTTTTTTACTTTGGCAATATAACTATAATAATTTAGTTTTTTGAACTGTATATATCCGTCACAATTTATATATTATTTAAAAAACACAATTTTTTCTCATCAAAAAATCCTTCAATTACTTTTATTACAACTTTTCATATTTTGGATATTCGTTTACAGAATAATTAATTAAACTTAATTAATTTTTCAGCGTGCTTCATAATATTTTTCTCCAGACATTTTAGAGACTGCTACAGTTGTCCGTAAAATACAATGAACTCACTTTTTTATCCATTTATCAATCAGAAAGATTTTTGAAAAAATTTTAAGTTTTCCAAGCAATAATCAAATCGTGACAAATATTTTTGTTATTTTACAGTTAAAAAAGATCAAATTATATCGTCAAAATAGAAAAAATTATGCAAGAACATTTATTTTTTAATATCCGGAAACTTATAAATGTACGTGTATATATATATGTGTAAAATCGAAATGGTAATTAGTTAATTTTTTGTGTATTTACGTAAATATATATAAATATGTGCATATATACAATTGTACACTATTATAATTACTAAATGTTCATATGCAATATTTATTTATATTATTTATTGGCATTATTATTATACATACACATATTATATATAGAGTCATTCAGGTCACCCGGAAAAGCCGGCATCTACATATTCCTCATGAAAAACTGAATCGAAAATGTTAACAGCAAAATGTTGAGATGTTAATGATTTGTGAGTGGTGAGTTGTTGAAACTGTTTAACCACAGAACAGTAAGAGCGCGCCGTCAGGTGCGGCGCA